GGGGGGGGGGGGGGGGGGGGGCGGCAGCAGGAAATGCCCTGCCTCACTAGAGTGATGTGAACAAACTCATGGTATGTGATTGTCAAATACTACAGCAGTGAGGTATCTTGATATTTATGCATTGAGAATTTAACATATGTGCTATTTTTCTGCTATAAAAAGTCCATGAATGCTCTTAAGTCAAATTGGAAACAGGAAGTTTGGTTCTAGGGTCATCTGAAATTTGCATTTTAAAGTCAGTTCCCTTGTTCCCACCCCCCTAAGAATCCTACTCCCGTTTTATGTATTTACTACATTTCAGCTATAGGCTACATTGCCTATCTGGGTGTAAATTACCCAGATAGGCAATTTAGCAGAAAATGCTACTACTAATACTATGGCAAACATCTCTGGGAATGCAAACTCGATCTGGGGACCTTGATGTGACACCGGAATGTGGCTGTATCAAGAGTGACCGACCAAGTGGCCCCTAAGCAAAAACAGATGGAAGCTCAACTTTTATTTTCCTCTACTACATACAGAAAGCCAGAAATGTGTGATTTTGTGGGGAGGTTAAATAAATAAATAAAGGTAAAACAAAACTGATTTAACACTGAGAAGAGAACGAAGGATATAATAACAACATAAGAAGCTAATAATTTACAGCTCAGCAGCGTATCAAGATGTTTAGTCATGTCTAAATTGTTTTGATTTTAGCTTAGTTAATACCTTTGATCACTAAGTAAAGGTATGGACAAGACTCTTTCTAAAAAACAAATACCAGTGCTGTGTTAGTGGAGGTACCAGGAAGGGGAAAGAGTCACAGTATATTAGAACAGGGGTAAGGCAACACATGGCACACATGCCCAAGCGTGGTTCACAAAGGCATTTTGCTTGAGACATGCACCTTGGGGGCGACTGGTGCAGGAGCCATAAGGGGCCCAATCCTTGTTGTGGCAGTGCAGTCCCAGCCCCTTCCGCACTGTCCACCTCAAGGCACGTGTGCAGTCACCGCCAGCAACAAGCTGGGCTGGGGCTCCACACCCCCTCGTGCAGCTGTTTGTAGTCTCCCCCACCATCTACTGCAAGCATCCTGGGCTCCGTGGCGGGCATGCGCACCTCAGGGCAGATGGCGGGGAAGGGGCCAAAGCTGTGCTGCCACAAGGCAGAATGGATCGGGCCCCTAGCAGCTTCCCCGCTGTCCACCCCTGGCATGCCAACATCTTACAAGTCAAGGTTGCAGTGGGGTTTTGGCACCCTGACCAAAAAAGTAGCCAACCCCTGTACTAGAGTTAAGGCACAACAGAGAGGTCTTCCGGCAAAAGTTGAAGAGAGTAGATTTTTTTTAATTCCCAATATTTCTGAAGTATAATGAAAGCAGCACAGAGTCCTAAAAAATACAGCTCCCCCTTCTTTGCATCATAAAAGGTAGAAACCCATGGCTCACTTGAACTTCCAGAGACATTCAACCCTCAACTAAATCTGTTGTTGCTATTCCTCCATATCTTCACCTGACTCTTCTTTTCCTTGTTTCACGTTGCAAAAGTGTAATGAAGGGCAGAATGTGGCCCACACTCGAAAACACGGCAGCTGAAATGACTGAGTCTGCAGCAAGAAAATTAAAGAGTCTTTATCTGAAAAACTGGCTTTTACCCCAACCTGTGCCCCAAGGTTCCAAGAATATGCAACATAACTGTTTGGGCAATGTAATTAATGTCACTAAAGTATAAAAATGATATTCAGGTTCTTTAATGCAGGTCCATATGACATACCAGAGCCTTGAAATGGACCCCTCCATTAAGGGTGCATACAGGCATTGGGGGAGGTTAGCAGGAAGTTAGATTGCATTTAAAATGGCCACCCAATCTAACTTAAGTTCTCCCAGGTGCAGACACTTAGATCCCTACTTAGGTCAATCTAAGTGTGAATCGTACCTCTGAAGTAAACTTAAGTTAGATTGAGTTGGTCACTTTTAGACCAGTCTAACTCTCCTGAATTTCTGTAGTTTCCAGCACAGAGCCAGGGCTGGGAAAGCCCAGCTGTTGTGCTTTTCCTACCCCCTCCCTGGCATCAGGCTATTTTTAGCCCAGATCCTCATCCCACCCTCAAATAACCACCCACCTTCCCCCCATAGACCAGCCAGCCTCCCCTCTCCCCCCAGCCTGACAAACCCCCCATCCCGCAAGCTGTTCTCAGTGCCGGGTTTGCAGGCAGGCATTTGCCAGTGCCAGGAGCCAAAGAAGTAAATTGGCAGGGGGAGCGGCAGATTGACCATAGAGGGTTGTTCGCCTAGTCCCGGGGGGGGGGGGGGGGGGGGGAAAAAAAC